ATAACGCGTGATCTCGCAGTGTACGGAAAATGGTCTATTCTAACTACTATTTCGCAGAATTTGACCAGCCTTGCTTTTACCAGTCATTTAAGTCAACTCCCATATTTTCCTTCACAGTGAAGGTTAATGCAGATATATTGTAAATTACACAGAGGTAACATTACAATACATTTCCCTTCACATTCCCCTGTATTACATAACAATCTTTGAGCTGAGGCAGTTATGGTTCTTTAACTATCACCAGTTCTCTTGTTGTTATTGTTGTGTTTGGCGGAGAGCGCCACCATAAGTCTGTAATATGCTTGAGGTCAAAGGTGAACTGTTATATTTCACGTGGTGAAAGCACGTTGTTAAACCAGTTCCAGAAACGGTGAGTATAAACACAGTTCCAGAAGGGACTGTGGCATGAACGGATGCATATTCCTTAGTTTCGGATAATACTATTCGTACAGTTAAATTAACTAATTTATAGGATGTCTGCCAGTGTTATGAGCAGTCGGAACTCCAGTCTAGGATGTTTCAGTTGACATCAACTACACAGTAGTAATACTAGGCTGAGATAATATATAGTATACATGTCTGTGAATATGGAGAACTAGGCTGCCGTGAAGTCCCAATATGAATATTCGTACAACCCCACACTTGTCTGAGCTACAACATCTATGTACGAAGGGTTACAACTAAACCAATCCCACTCTGTTCAATGGCCGATATTTACATTGGAACTTATTACCAATATTGAGGTTATTGAAAGCATGTGTACATTAGCTTTTTTCATCAATTCAATTAACAAAAACTATTATAACAGAATTGTACCTGAGTGAAATTCATAAATAGTAATTCTCATAATCACTCCGTCTATATGTCTTGACTTTTTATTATTTTATTAATCGTTCACCCTTGAGGTGTGACACCATTAAAATGGACTACCAAACAATAATATATTAAAATGTCCACTAAAAGAAACAATCAAAATGAATTTAAATTGGATAGAAAATGTAAAAAACGTGGAGTACTGGTACCTCAGCTTCATGAATAGCCATGTACATGTAATAACATAATTACAGAAGTGAAAATAAAACTAATAAACACTGAGTCATGGGAAGAACAAATGAACGACTGTAACCATGGTAACAAAAAAACAACAAACCTTAGAACATACAGATTATTTTGAATTTGAAAATTAATTAATGAATTATTTTGGATTAAGAAAAATATTATATAAATTTCAGCCAAGTTTCAACATGGATGTAGAATTAGATAGATGAAGTGAACCCAAAATTGATGATGGCAAAACATTACATATTAGATTGTGTTTATTTCAAAAAAACCTGCTCTATTACATTTCATAAAAATTATGTTACCAAGCATATCTAGGCCTTGTATTTGAAAATGTTTGCATGCTAGATCTAATATATATGCTCTAGAAATTGCTCTCCCAATAACTGTATGCTATGCTATTAAAATCTCTTCAATTGGCCTGAATTAGGGGACTTAATGGGTGATGGGCGAGTGCAATGTGACATCATTTTCTTCAATTTAATATCCTGATTATCAAATGAATTTTTCCTGAAAGGTTTTTACCCCCCCCCCCTATCATTGAATTGATCATTTTAAATAATTAATAATTAGTTTTTTTCACGTTGACAACCATAACTAAAAACATGCATGAACAAAAAAATATAACGACTATTCTTTTCCTCATAAATACCATAAGTAAGTAAATTATTATAGTGACCTGCAGCTCAGAGAACTGCCCAGCCCAGTTGACTTTAAGTCACCTTAAATAATAATGATTACATTTACAAATAAAGGTTATGAAAGAGAGCTTGAAATAATATATCAACAATACAATCGTATAGTTCATTAAATTCAGACGTACAACAAATTTCTTCGTTTGTAAATAATTTTCTGTTGTATGAACTAGTAAATGTTTTATTTATTTTTTTCTGAATTTGCTTTACAGCTTCTAAAATGAAACGCAAGTCTGGAGCCCAAGAGAAAGCACGGAAGAGACTGCCAACTAATGTTGAGAGTGCTTCAGATGGTCCAGTGAATGAAACCCCACCACTGTCAGATGGCAGCCATCTTGATTCAAGAGTAGGGAGCCATCTTGATTTCATATCCGAGAATTATCTGGATACTGATTCAAATACTATTGACTCTGCAACAGATGGACATTTTAACTTTTCATCTCAAGCACTGTTACTGGAATCTATAATTTCTCCGGTGAAATTAGAGAATTTTTTCCAAGACTACTGGGAGAAGAAACCTCTAATACTACATGGGGAGGGTTCCAAGCGAGCTGCATACTTCAAACAGTTGTTTTCAATGAAGCAACTGCGGGTTATCTCAAAGAAAAATTCTGTTCGTTTTGTGGAAGATGTAAACTGTTGTCGATATGTAAATGGAAAGAGGGAATCATTGAATGAAGATGGTGATGCTACCGTAGAAAAAATAAACAGAATTTTCAGCGGGCTGAAGGGTACTTTGCAGTTTCACCAACCACAGAGATTTCAGGTGCAGTTTTTACCTTATACACTGTAATACATTGTAATATTTTGAAGGCCTATTGTCACCTATTATGTAAATTAGTAAAATTTAAAAAAATGTTAAGCGGAGGAAACACCATGTAGACAGAATTTTATTTTATTTTTCAACTTCTGACATTATTATTATAATTTAATAATTGTTTTAATACAGATATTAGAAATGATTTTCAACTTATGAAATTATTACATAAACATGAGTAATCTGCATGAATTTTTTTCTTTTTAGTAAGTAGGGCTACTCAAAGAATATGTTTTTCCTAGCCTCAGTATGTAACCAAATTGAAAATTGATTCATTTTGTTTTTTTTATCAGGATGAATTATGGAAAATTCAAAGTAACTTGGAGTCATTATTCGGTTGTCTAGTTGGAGCTAATGTTTACATCACTCCAGCGGAGTCGCAGGGGTTAGCCCCACACCATGATGATGTAGAGGTAAGTAACAGGGTAAATTTTGACCCCCCCCCCCTTCAAATTGTTGTTCGACTTTGTAGATGTTGATGCCTTGATCACTTAAATACCAAGTCAAGAATTTACGAGTGTATAATTAATCATATTTGGGACATGTGATTGACACTTTGAAACAAAAGACGTTGTTTCTTTCATTGTAATAGTTTTTGGTATATTTATATTTTGTAAATCTTGCTTACCGGTATTACTATGTTAAGCCAACCTTGCACCAAATCCATAACAATTGAACATTTTGGGCATTATTCTATCATGACTCTTCTTTGAATTTTTTTAAATTAAGGACTTGTGTGTATGTGTGTTACTTTTGTGACAATAGTTCTTTTTGTTTGTTTTAGGTGTTTATTTTTCAGTTGGAAGGTGAAAAGCATTGGAGACTTTACAAGCCGTCATTGGATCTACCTCGAGATTACAGTAGAGATCTGAGTCAGAATGAGATTGGTGATCCAACGCATGATTTCATACTTAAGGTATACATTTTTGTATTTTTCACATTCTACTTTTCGTCTCATGTAGAACTTACTCTTCATTATGTTGAGGATTCCATATGTCTAAAAATGCCACAGGAAAGTTTAAATTATGAAGGAAATAATTGACTATTCTGAAAGAAATTCAGTTGGGATATTTAGGCAATCTGCTCCAACAGCCTCCATGAATTTTGAGCCAAGTACATTTTTTGATGTGAAATCTAAAAAAAAAATATATTTTTATGACCCTGAAACTTGCTCTAACACTATACAGTCTGGTATATGATTGTTTTAAAAGTAAACTAAGCCAGCTTAAAGCCTAATTATGCTCAGACCACGCTTACTAAAAAAGACGGTTAGGAAACAAACCACGTTCTCTTCATTGGATGCGTGTCGCGGGTAAACATTTGAAATAAAAGACGCACTAGTCTGTGATAAAGATAGGCTAATCATTAACATAAAATGTAGACAAGGAAATCACGCAAATATGACGTCATTTTTCCCAGAGTTCATTGCAATCAACAACTGCACACCTTTTATTGTTTATCTGTGCATGGAGCTAAAAAAAGAAGGAGAGTGAACTCCCTTTGATGCTCTTGTTACCATGACTACTGCCGACTATTTGGTCAACAGATAACACTTGACGGGTTTATGGGGGGATTAGTAGACGTGAATATTTAATAAGTCATGATCGGACGTTCTCGGATGAGTTCGGTCGTTATTGCAAAGCAGGGTGAGGCACGAAAAAAACTTTAAAATGACTCAAGTAGGAAAAAAAACATGGCCAGAATTACACAGTAACTTTTAAATTGGTGATGTTTAATACACAAGTAATTGTGATGGAATCAATGTAGTAGGGAACAAAGTATCGTTAACTTCCAACTCGCCACAATGTAACTATCCCCCTATCCCTTAATATGAGCTGTCAACACAAATCAAAGCAACGCAACACACGCAACCGGTTTGGCCGTGATATGCCGCTATTGGCACCTACCCTCGCATGACGTAGAAGAGGTCAGTTTACTATTTAACTAGATTTCGGCGTCCGCAGGGAAAGATTTTACGAAAAAAATAGAATTTACCGAAGCTCAAATTTAACGCGTCGTTTATCCAAAGCACGTGTTGTCTATGAGGGCCCACACAGGAAGTAGGACAGATGAACAGAAATTAAAAACGTGATTGTGAATTTGGCCATGGGAGCTCGAACTTCAATTCAAGCTTGTTGGAAAGTACATGGAAAATACTATATATCGGTGGTAATTTTATCGTCTGCCGCCAAGTATTTTATTTTAAAATCAAATTTTTGTGAGCAATGTTTTCGACATTACGACATTGTAATAACTTGCTGAAAACCTGTCCGATTTCCATGACTCAAACGCAGACCTGTAGAACTGACGACACTCTTCGGTAATTACCGCTACGCGCATGTTCACCACCTTTAATGTCAACTGCGCAGAACAAAAATGATCGTTACACCTCAGGAAGGCGGTGACGGCAGCCGGCAGAAGTCATCGACATGAAAGGCGTGTAAACACAAAAGAATAATCAGCTTAAAACAAAAGACTCAAGTAGGATTAAAACCAGTTCAGTCTCCTTCTTTTTTTAGCTCCATGAT